ATGCATTGGTATTAATACAAGCGTATTACGTCAGATAACGTGATGGTATATGTACACGACAGATAACGTCGCACAATATAATCATATTTATACACAATAGAAAACGTCGCATAATGTATTGGTATGTCTACATGAGGGATAACGTTACATAATGTAATGAAGTTCGTAGGCGAGAGATGACGTCATATAATGTATTGGTTTTAATACATGCGAATAACGACTGATAATGTAATGGTATTTATAGGCGAGTGATAGCATCACATAATGTTATCGTATTTATACACGAGAGATAACGTCTTATTACGTATATATATTTATTTAATAGCAATCGTACACAAGAGATGACGTCACACAATGTATTGGTATTTATACATTTCAACAATAGTAACGACGGTATATGTATTTTCAAAGACCATCAGTTTGTGCTAACAATACAATGTGTCGAATCACACTCTGTGATAAGAGAAAATCTAGAGGCACAATTAGGAGACACGGATCAGTTGTTCAAGTATTGAAAATTGGAAAGGTGGGCAGAGGAAAGTTACTTGAGATGATTTCACCCTTGTTAGTCAGTATCGGGTATGGCTAAATGGTCATCAATACACGTACTCTACGCCGAGGTCTCAGGCGCCTGATGACATGAACTGGAATCCGAAGCTGTTCCTCCTGGAGTGTACTGATTGCAAGCATCTGTGGGATCAAGGTCCTTCTCAACGGACAGCAGTTGGTGCATGTGTAAAAACCAATCTGTGCAACTGCCCATTGTGTTCATTGGGGAGGCAATGAGCAAACAATTATCTGCTCATTGCAACAATATACTGTATGTCAATTTTACATCACCAAACCCATGCTTGTAAACAGGAAATACAATTGTGTGAGTAGATATAGTTCAGCGAAGAAATCGTTGAGTAATTTAAAAAGATATAATAATGGTTGATCACATTGTTTGGTGCGCATTAAAGTCTACATTTGGTCAGACGTATCATTTTCGAGGCGTATTTATATTTTTAACAGTAGTTAATAAATAGTAATTTATGATTTATTGTTGATGCATCCGTGTGGGAAAACAATTCAGGGGACATATCTGTGTGAAAAAACTCGGTGAGTAGATACTTATAAAATAACTTTGTCCTTTTGACGTCTGTGAATAAAATTTAAAACTCAGTGTCCATTGCATGCATTGGGCAAGCTGTATTGCCAACAGCACGCATTGGGCAAACGGCCTGCCTAAATGCACGCAATGGGCAGTTGCACAGATTGGGTTTTACACATGCTCCAACTGCTGTCTGTTGAGAAGGACCTTGCGATGCTGTGATCTGATGACCAGTATGGTCCCACAGATGCTTGGTGACATGTCAGGTGATCTGGCTCGCCAAGACAGGACTTTGGGCTTGTTGGCCTGAAGAAATCTCGCACAATATAGGCTGTGTGTGACAGGGCGTTATCCTGCTGGAATAAGGCAACGTTATGCATTGAGATTTGAGATGAACACGTTTGGATATTTTCACCGCAGATTCCGCCTAAACTATGACGCTGCCTCTGCGAATGGTATGATGTCCTGTCCTCTTTGTCCGGAGGGATAGGTGGTTGTGACTGGCGGATTGCCGCACCTAAGCATGTCTACTGTCCACCTGTCCAGCTGCAGGGCCATCAAACTGGTAGTTGCAGCGCGGGTACAGCTGTACTTCTGGCATCTTGGTCAAGGTTATCTGCAACGTATCAATAATTATTTATGAGTGGCATTATCGTTCTGATTTTCTGGAACCTTTGGTGTAAATGTGCAATGTTACGCGTGTTTAATATCCTAATGTTAATTTGGTGTCTTATTTCCCGTGCAACATAATCAAACAAGAGCAAGAGTCGAATGATGCTCCTTGAAATGTTCCTGGAAAGAACATGCTCGATTGTACCTTAATAGTTGGTAAATGTAGACACCAAATGCTGGAGCTGGTAGAACATTGCTTGACTAAAAGGGAAAGCTGACTGTTGTAAGTTGAAGTCATACAGTCTTTATCCATAAATCTAAATGTGAAACAGACGAGGCGGTTTCACTGGCTGAACCTACTCTGAGAGACATTCATCAGTTACATCTTCTTTTCGACTTGTCCGATAACCGAGTTTCACTTGTACCATTTGTTTCCGTGTTTTTAAGGTGAGAATTTGACTTGTCCTTGCATGTGTTTGTGACAGGTGCTACCGGTTGGGCAGGATACGCACCCCTTTTCGCGAACACCGGGCATCATCACTAATAGTGATTCACAAACACATACAATATGAAAAAGTTGGAATCGTACAATAGATTCTGCGTTTGGATGAGGGGTCCTGTGGTTATGAAAAATGTTTTGCGGCTATTATTTATATCCTAGGTATAACTGTAGGCGAGGGATGATATTTAATCGCGGGGCAGAAAGTGTCGGATGAATTGCCTTTAAAGTAGTGCCCTCTAAAATCGGACCAATCTTGGTAGATATAAAACCTAGTCCAGGGTCCATAGGCCAGTAGATATATTTGGAGGCGTGTCGACACATCAGTATCTGATTGCATTGATTCTTCAGTGAGGTGTGTGTGTGTGTGTGTGTGTGTGTGTGTGTGTGTGTGTGTGTGTCCTGGACGGGAATTATTAAATATAAAACACGCATCAGCATTAACGGCAGTGGCTGAGGGCGGAGGGCTGAATGTGCCTTTAGATGACTATGCATCAAGAGTTCTATCATAATAATATCTGCAATAAAAGTCTCCCCTTTCGATAGTCAGGAAGAGGTGGCAATATGGATTAAGTTAATTATTGTATTGTATTTTTTTACGAGCTGGCAGCAATCGTGGAATAAAGGATAAAAGAACCTACATTGAAGTGACAATAACTTACATTTCCTTCATCCAAATAACTCGAGATTGAATCCCGATAGTCGAAATTGTACAATTTCATTCATTACCTTTTAATTTGATTTTCATTCATTTACCAATACCACATCATTATAAATACCTGAAGTCTGATGTGGCCGAGGTGACCAGGACCAATCTATAGCTCATTATGTTACTATTGCCCAGGATAATGACACAAAAGCATTTCACACTCCCTTGAAAAGAGGATAGAGTTACAGGAAAGGCACGGTTTATCACCAATATCTGCACATTGTTATCAAATCGCATGTTTCGTTTGATCTTGTTTGTTGATGTCCCTAACGTATCATTTCGTGGTGCGATTGATGGCTTCTCTTCACCGAGCCGCACTTTACTAAGAGCTGTGTCATGTCATTATTTTACAAGCCTTATCAAAACTAATTGGAGTTTGGTTTCCAGGTGAAATCAGTCTTTGACCACTTAAGGATCCAATGGTTATTCTCTGAAAATGCACATATACGACGTGATCTTGGCCTGAACAAATTGATTGACAGATGTTTAATGATGATCCGAAAATAACAACGTGAAACCATTGTACGGAAATAATGGCGAAACGTATGGTATCATCATAATTAGTTGACGTTGATTATCCATTTATATTATCATTACTGAGTAATATCAACCTGTCAGTAATGAGACCGAAACCATAGACTGGGTTCATTACTTTTCAGTCATTCCTTGCTTTATCACTTACTGAGTGAGTTTTAAGCATAACATGATGGTTCATCATAATGTTGGAGAAGTATTGTTAAAGCCCAGCTCACTTTCGCAAAACTTACAGACTGTATATTCATTTCCATATATGTTAATACTGCTACTGTGAGCATATAATATTGAAGTGTTGCATGTTTCCTAGTCGGTAATACATGTACATTTACACTACCCCAAATTATGACAACGATGTCATAAGAAGGTATGTGTGTATATTATATGACATGTGGATACTTTATGTGAGAGAAGGAGTCCGCAAAACAGGCATTTATGTTATATTGGGTAACATCATATACATTTAGAATGATTTCCGAACGCAACTGACACACACTGATATTCGAATATGTCGATAAAGTGACACGCGAGTGACAATATATTTCCCAATGAAATGTGTTAACAAAACCTACGTCTTCCAAAACCGTAGTGAAACGTGACACGACCACGTCTAATCAAAGAAGTGCAACTGAATCTGGCCTCATCTGAAATCATGACACTTGACCAGCGACGATTACCCCAGTTTCGACGTTGTGTTCACCATTGACGTCTGTTGGCAATACTGACGATTTGTAAGGGGCGGCACAACACGTGGCCGTCGAGCATGGAGATGAGCTACATTTATAATGGGACGCCCTGACCTATCGTCAACATCTTGGGTTTGTTGGTACCCGTTCCATAGTCTGCTACTCACATTAAACGTATGGCCTGACTTCTGTACGTTTCCAGCATGTCAATAGCTCGCGGAAGCACCTCGCGTACGTTGCGGATGCCGCATCCCTAGTTCATACACAAACAATGAATGGAATCAAGTAAATCACAACTGTATGATAATCAGAATGAATAGGATCTACCTATCTTTCTATCTCTCTCTATATTATATCTATCTTTCTATCTCTCTCTATATTATATCTATATATCTATCTTTCTCTCTCTCTCTCTCTCTCTCTCTCTCTCTCTCTATCTATCTATCTATATATCTTTCTATCTATCTATGCGTGCATAAACATGTAACCATACTTCTATTAACATATATGGTATTCATAACGTTCAAATATCCTTGTGTACCCTACCCTTGTCGTCTATTTGCCCGAGAATAGTCTCGCAAACCGCCCAAGTGCTTCTTTAAGACTTCAAACCTAGGTAAAAAATTGATGACAGGAATAGACAATTAATTGGTTAGCGTCTAATGTTTGTCCATATTCCCGAGTTATCATTCAGTGTATAGCACATATTAACACAAGAGAAACGGATTGCTCTTTCTGTAGTAAACCTTGTTTCACAAAATGGCAACACACTCATTATTTCCCCTTATCGTAAGCAAATCGTTAACCCTTCGGCAGTTGTCATGTTCTATTGCAAATGTCGAATCAGCTGGTGTTTTGTTTTTTCAGGTGAAGGTTGGCACGTCTGATGGAACGTCTGTAGCAGTAAAGAGATCCTTCGATTCAATCAACAAGGGCAGTGGCTTAAGTGGCTTTATGAAGCGTGGGTTCGATAAGATCTCTCACAGCAGTGGGTTTTCGTCCTTCAACAAACGACCCTTTGATTCAATATCCGGTTCAAGTGCTTTCTCTGACTTCGCCAAGAGACCGTTTGACTCCATTGCTTCTGGGGGTGGAATGGCAGGCTTCGCTAAGCGTCCATTTGATTCCATTTCTGCCGGAAGTGGGATTTCCGGATTTGCCAAACGTCCCTATGATTCTATAGGAGCTGGTAGTGGTATATCAGAGTTTGCAAAGCGGTCATTTGACTCCATTAACGCGGGGAGTGGACTATCGGGATTTGCAAAACGTTCATTCGACTCAATAGGGGCTGGGACTGGAATTGCGGGATTCGCTAAACGACCATTTGATTCCATTGCATCTGGTAGAGGTATGTCTGGATTCGCTAAGCGCCCCCTTGAATCTATCGCAGCAGGACGCGATCTGTCCGGTTTCGTTAAGAGACCGTTTGACTCCATTGCCTCCGGGAGAGGTATGGCAGGATTTGCAAAACGCCCCTTTGACTCAATTTCGTCTGGAGGCGGTATGGCCGGCTTTGCGAAGAGGCCATTTGATTCCATCAGCTCCGGAAGTGGGATGTCAGGATTTGTCAAGAAATCTTTCGATAAAATTGCCCATGGTGGCTTCGCATCTTTTAACAAAAAGTCAGACAGTGAGGTAGATAAACGCCCATTCGATTCAATCAGTCAGGGTGCTGGGATGGCAGGCTTTGCCAAACGACCTTTCGATTCGATTGGTTCTGGAGGCTTCTCCACTTTCGTCAAGAAAGGCCTTGACTCAATTTCACACTTCAGTGACATGGATGACTTCGGCAAGAGGTCTGTGGATAACGCTGGCGAATCTGAGAGTGGTGAAAGAAAATGAATATGGAACAACAATAAACACACATGCATGACTAACACGATCGTCCAGAACGTATGCATATCAAAACGTTACTTTCGCACTTAAAACTATGCTGCTGGCAAAGTTAATATCGAGAAGCGATTATTATTAAATCACAGTGGCTGATTAATTTGTACTTCCATTTTACTATGGATATTTAAGTTAAGATTCATTTTAAGAACGAATGTATGTGTATCCTATTACATGTATGCATACTTAACGGTACAACACATACATGTATTATGTTTGACATCCGAGTTCAAGTACTCGCCGCGAGGAACTGTTGACCCACGAATAATGTTTCTATGGAGCATAACATGAAGGCGCTACAAATTATGTATACAAACAGCCTTAATCTTTCTGAAAAAGTTTATATCAAAATTTAAAGGAATATATTTTGTGTTGTTAGATATTTATTTCTTACGAACCGCTTCAGCAATAAAGAGTTGAAGAGTGCCTGAAGTTTCATATTGTTGATCCTTGTTTCAATACGAAAGTTCCTGAAACTAAAACTTACCCCCAAAGCACAAATTTAAAAATTGTGTTGAAAAATCATCCAGTCGTCAGTGGCTGAAGACAGGTATGGCGTGCGTCTGGCTTTTGTGAAACTAGAACAACGCATATGTAGTATTTTGCATAGCATTGTATTTGTTAGCTCAAACGCCACCTCTAATGTGCGTTCAGCCGAGGTGGAGTGAGTGAGGTTTAACGACGTTTCTCCGTTATTATACACCGTGTCAGCTGGATGTGGGAGGAGAATCCGCATTGATGTAGGTGTTAGCTGTTTACCACCTTGATTGAACCAACAAACCAACAGGGCGTATCTGGTATCCGAACCCATGGTAGGATTCCTAGACTATAAGATTCTGGCCCGCATAAGGAATGCAACTCAGGCAACTAGGTCCCCTTTAGTCTATCCGAGAGATGATTATGGGAATGATTATGGGGCACGGATGTCGATTGGTAATTGGTAAAATTTCCTCAATTTATCTCACTGTAAAAGGAACTAGATTCTTTCAGGTTCACTCATATATCCACACCAAGATAGACTGTAAAAATTTACGTGAACCATGATACGATGCAAGTAACTATAGAATCTACAAAATACCGTGAATCACGAGGTGAATGGCGGGGGACATAAAAAATACATTGTAACATCACGGGGTTGCGTTATGGCTGTTGTTTCGGCGGCACGCACAAGCCACGTGCCGAGGTTGGACGATTTGATTCAGACGAGATGGGGAGGAAGCCTTGGTCCACGGTTTTGCATTGTTGCGTATACGTACAGCTCATCGAGCACATTTTTTAGAATCTATGTGAAACAACCTGACACCCAAAAACAGCGCCGATTTAGTAAATCTGACGGCGTTTTGCAACCCGTTAACATTACCCAATAAACGATATAATTATATATAAAATTCATTTTTTCAAGACCGCCTCCTTGGTCCAGTGGGGCGGTCGGGTAGCCTAATGGTTAAAGCGTCCGCTTGTCACGCCGAATACCTGGGCTCGATTCCCGACATGGATACAATGTGTGAAGCCCATTTCTGGTGTCCCCCGCATGATATTGCTGGAATATTGCTAAAAGCGGCGTAAAATCAAACTCACTCACTCACTCACCTTGGTCCAGTGGTTAGGATGGTTTGCCCGAAGAGTGGGAAGACGTTAAAAGATTGTACTTGTTGTTACCCTGTTGTTGCGGCATGGTTTCTTAGTGGGCTAGCACTATAAACTCGGCATTAGTCCGGGCTCATACAAGCAGACACACACACGCGCACGCATGCACGTCGCTATATAAATGCAACACTCTGGAACGCGACGTAACGAATTGATGATGGTTATATGCCGATGACGATACTTATTAATACCAAGGCCAAGAAAGGTTAAGTCACGAGGTTTTTAACAAGTGTATTGTATCAAATCTATAAAATTGCAATACAGTGGTACCGAGTTAACGAATAATGTAGTCATTTGTCACATTTATATGTGTATCAACAGGTCTTAAAATGCCAGAGGATAAGGTTGTTTATGCAGATGACATTATACAACTGTAGGTCAGAATTCAACAATGCAAGTAATTATGTATCATATTTGTCTAAACAAAAACATTTATGACGAAAACATGGGGCCTAACTGAGGTTTTACCGAGCAAATAGAGGCTGCAACGTTAATGTATACTTAAGTACGTGACGTGCGACGTTAAGGACGTTCATTATGTTTGGAAACGAGCTATGACATGAACATCCGTTCCTTATTCTGAAGCTCGTGTACATTCCTTGCCAATGTACTGGAAGGTATCCGGTATTCTGTAGTCTCTAGCCACCTTGAGTTATAACTTGCAGCGACATTCTATTGTTGCCACAGTTGGAGACGCCATAACCTTGAGGACCTTGCGTCTCTACTCACTTTCACTTTTGCCGTAAGCACCATAAGCGAGCTATCGGAAAATGGGAATTCTAAGATGCTTCGCTAAAAGATTTATCTCGGACACGCCAGAAATCTATGATCGAGGGTTCGAATCCCTGTTCGCCCCGATTATGCTTATCGGCTTGTCAGCACCATGCCCTGCTTGTGGATTTCACAAATTGTAAATGTCTGAGTTTCCACCCAAAGAAAGTTAAAAACTACCTCCCCCTGTTATCTCTGATACAAAGCACCGTCTCCATGCCACAGCAAGCACCAGTTGTCCAAAGGCGTTGGTGCCTTTGAGTTATATACGTCAGTGGCCGTGAGTAACCATTTCAAACTTACCTACACCGCTTCTGGTGATCAACGTAGGACATTGAGCTCATGTTAGTTATGAGTCATGTTATTTCGTCCCCATGGCGACGCCATTTGACATTACGTCAACTCGCCTCAAGGCGTTGATTCACATTGAAATGTATGGGTACTGTATCCTACAGCCCAACGAACCCAGTGTGCACTCCATCTCATGATCTGCACGTGCTGAAGTCGGCTACATTAGTGGACAACAATGCACTTGTGGAATGTTCAGTGTCACGTGATGATTAAACTGAACCAAATTCACATAAAAACATTGAGTTTATTCCTACCTATCACTGTTGGGATTTTGGAGAAGTGTTCTGGGATTAGTGATGTATTTCAACACCTACATGTACTTTAGTCTTTAGGGTGCGGGCAATTAGCTGGAACAGCCTTTCAACCCGATTGGGAGATTTTCATGTGATATTGATCGCATCTCCGTTAATAGACACAGTTAGTATTGCATTTACCACTTTAGAAAATGTATAACGTTTACTTTATACCAATAGCATAGCATAGCATAGCATTATATAGTATAGTTTATCCCTTAACTATGTGTATTACACACTCCAAGCACACGGACGCAAGTGTCTTCGTGCTTCAACAGTTCAGGGCAAAGTTATACTGTATTACACAGCACATGGCGGTAGAGCAAATTTTATTTCTTAATCAATTAATGTTTTTTATTTATTACGCCGTATCTGCGACGTTGTGACTTATGTTACACTATAGATTATAGCCTATAGCTAAATATAATGATATGAATATAGTCATAGACGTACAACACAATACTAGCAGACATCCTCAAACATCAAACATAATTTATAATAAAATATTCGAATGCAGTATATTCATGTATCTACACAACGGGAAAGGATGACAAGCCCCTTCATTCACACTACTGACGGAGGTGATGCTGCTTTTCGATGAAAGTAAAAATGAATGCGACTTCTTACGATCAAACGCATGCAGTACAATGTATATAAAGAAGTCTCATATTCGCAAGGACAAACACATTTTCTCTCATAACCTTTAAGCAAACCGGTACTCGCTATATTAATTTCCTCTTGGCCTATCTCACGCTAGAAGGAGTCAAGGGGTTATATGGCATGCGATCTTTGAAGTGGTCCAACAATGTTTGAGAATTAACAGAACATACTATGCCTTCCCTTGGAACAAACAGACAACCTCCAAGTCGTCTCACTGAGATGACATGTAACAACAGGCCTTGTAATGTTGTTTTTCTTCTAAAAGTTCAAAGTGTGTCTATTTTTTCATGTATCAGTATTACTATATTGGGAAAATTCAAAAGTTGGGATGATACCTCAGCATTTATGAATGGCCAAATACGTTACTGGCACAATGAAACACACACTTTACACGCCTTGTTGACTCCATGTCTCTGCATACGTGTTTGCAGAAACAGGCGAAAACATTACAAATTCTAATGAATAGACCAACTACCAATGTTTGATTGCCCGATGATGACATCATGTTTTTATTATATTTCGATTCTAACTGACTTGTATCTATTGTTATTTGCTGCGACTAGAGCCCAGCATGTGCCGCCACATGACTCGACGAATAACGCTTCCTTGTCCCTAAAAAATCCCTATTAACGATAATTCCACGTCGTTTAATCTAATATAAAGTCAGACTTTTAAACACCATCACTCCGGCGAAAAGATAATCCAATCACTAAAGGTTAATCTTCTGTTGGAGAATATAACGAAGTGTTGTCTACATAACTAAGGGATAGCTCCGCTTAATCTTAACTCCTCGCTCCACCAACTTGAATAATGTCATCACTTGTCCTTATCCTGTCTAGGACGATACAGACGCTCACTGGAGATGACCCTGTATGGAGCTGATAAGTCGGATATAATTAAATCAGCATTTTGTTAGGCGACAGATTCCTGTCATGAATACAAACGAGATTTGGCGTTAGTTCATGGATGCGTGCTCCACGTTATTAACAATTCTGTCAAACAAACGAGCTTTGCGTTCTTAATTGTAATTTTCGTTACAATATTGAAATTATTTAATTTTGGGACACAACAAATGCTTAAAAAATAATACCGGCACGAATAGGGGTTCACCTCCAGGAAAGTCAGAAAAAAAGAAGTAAATTTATTGAGCTGAACAGTATTATCCCTCAATCTAAATATTATGTAAGGTGGAGCATATGGAATGGTGTGTGGAAAGCGAAAGACACAAGAGAGATAGTGAGAGCGGGATTCAGAATAGTGTATGTGTTTGTGTGTATGTTGATAAGCGCCGCCCACAGCCATATACCAGCTATAAATAATCGGGTCTAGACCGGCTTGCCCTCATCTGACCTACACCTTATATCGCCTACACCTCATCTGGCCTACACTAAATACAAATGGTTACTTCCACACCCCTCTTGTGTAGAATGGTACTGTCCATTGACCCATTTATGATTTCATTCATTAACATGAATTAATGCCCTGAGTACATGGGCCTTTGAACTAATCCGGTGTTTTCATAGTGGTATCTGATCCTTGAGTTTGTTTTGACTGTTTATACAGGATTACTGTTATAATCCACTTTTAACAGGTCTACTCATCTCAAAAGTTTTGTAAGTGTGTATACATTACCTTACCTGATATAATCAGGATTGTTCACTGGAAGTGTATCACCATTGGCTGCCCATGGCAGATGCAGCACCA